AAAAATATAATAATATCTATATGATGATTGTTCTCCATATTAAAATATAGGAGATTAAATTATTTTAGAACTATTCAAGTGGACTTCATTGTTTTTATATTATATATTTTATTAATATTTAATTTTAGGAAATACATTCACCAGTTCTTGTTTAATATTATTAAATTCTCACACATCTATTAGAGGTATCATTATTTGCATTTTATGGATGAGGAGACAAAGAGTTAGAAATTCATTCTTTTGCCATTTATTATTGCTTTCTCTGCAATACCAGGTACCACTAATGCCATATTCCAGTTAATCAGGGTGTGTGTGTGTGTGTGTGTGTGTGTGTTGAGACACGGTCTTACTATGACATCTAAGCTGGAGCCGGATGACATAGCTCAAGTGCAGCCCAGGCTGGCCTAGAACTCACGATCCTCCTCCCCCGGCCTCCTGAGTGCTGGGATGACAGAGGAGCCTTATAGTTTGTTAACTGGATTATTCTTTTGGAGTCGTGTGGGGTTTTTCCATAAAAACCAGAGTTCCTGTGCCTCTTTCGGTTTTTTCTACTTCTAGTAGAGATAGGATTTGTGATTAGTTCTGCAATTTTGCTTCAGAGATGATACATTTAGTGCCAGGAAGCCAAAGTCTGGTGGGAAAGAAATCATTTTGTTTCCTCTGTCTTTAGTCTTTTTCCCTCAATGCTTACAGGAGGCTTGTGCACCCTATGATCCTCACAAACCTCTCACCAGTGTGATTCTCCTCCTGAGGGGTTGTAGGTGCTGTGAACGCAGCAGGGGGAGTGTGAGCATTATGGTGCCCACAACTCGTCAACAAAGGAAGGCTTCTTCCCTCTGGTGGTTCTTATCCTAAAGAGATAAAATGAACCCTTCATAAGTATTAATTTCAGGGTACAGTTACTCCATTCAACATGACTCAGTTTGGAGCCAGACCTGATGGCACATGCCTGTAACCTCAATGCTTGGGAGGTTGAGGCAGGAGGATTGCTCTGATCTCAAGGCCAGCCTGGGCTATACAGTGAGTTCAAGGGAAACTTAGACTGCATTAGTGAGACCCACCCCCCTCAAACAAAACAAAGTACAATAAAACTATACCCCCCCAAAAAAATCCAAAATCAAACAAAATCCAAAAACCAAGATAGAAGAACTCCAAACTGACTACTTTTAAATTATATTTCTGTTGTTAAAACTGTCTGGTTTGAATCCTGACAACAGCACACACTTAGCAACTGTGTGTTCAGGAGCTCATCACTATCTGTTTCTCCCTCTGGGAAATAGTGTAATAGTCACCTCACCCCCTAGGCGGTTGTGAGGATTCATTGAGCTATTAGATGCAGAGTATTGAGCACAGTAGGGGGCACATTGTAAATGCTCAGTAAAAATTAACCATTGTCACTACTATTATTTTCTAACTTGCTGCTCACAGTTAACTGGACTAAATAACTTTACCCTTCCTAAGCCAGGCATGGTGGTGCACACTGGTAATCGCAGAGGATTGCAAGTTTGAGCCCAACCTGGGCAACCTAATGAGTTCATTAAAACCCATCTAAAATATGAAAAATTTAAAAGGCTAAAGATGTAGTTATGGCCCTGGCTTCAATAATCCCTAGCATCACCACCCCCCTAAAAAACCAAAAAGCTTTCTACCAATGAAAATAATAATGATTTAATTTCATTTCTTAAAACAGTGGGTGAACTATAAAAATAAAACAAATTGATATAAAGCAAGCTCACTTCATTAGAACTAATGGCATCTTTTCTCCTCTAGCTTTCTTGAGGTACTTGATAAATAAAAATTTATAGAGAAGGTTTCAGCATGATGTTTTGCTGTCTGTATACCTTGGGAAAGACTATCACAACTGAGGAAATTAACACACCTATCACTTCACTGTTACAGTTTTTGTGCATTGGGACAAGAGCAGCTTTCTCAGCGAGCTGCAAGTATACAGCACAACGTCATTAACTGTGGTATCACGCTGTGCATTTGATCTTTAGAACCTGCTCACCCCACATCAATGAACTTTTGTGCCCTTTAGCAATATTTCCTCATTTCTGCCTAGCCTTTGGCACCTCCCCTCTACTTTCCATTACTTCACAAATTTGGCTTTTTAATATTTCAAGTGTAAGTGAGATCAAGCTGGGCATGGTGATACAAGACTCTAATCCCAGAGCTCTGGGAGGCTGAGGCAGGAGGGTCATAAGGTCAAGTCCAGATTAGGCATTCAGTGAGACTCTGTCTCAAAATAAAATTAAAAAACAAAACAAAAGTAGAAAACTCTGAATTCAATTCCCAGTACTAAAAATAACAAAAGAAACTAGAAAAAAGTGAGATCACACAGTATGTCTATTTCTGTGCCTGGCTTATTTCTCTTAGCAGAATGTCCTGTAGGTTCATCCATATGGATGCAAATGACATGATTTTCTTCTTTTTAAAGGCTGAATAATAATCCAGTGTCTGTGTGTGTGTGTGTGTGTGTGTGTGTGTGTGTGTGTGCACATGCACACATATGGGCACATACATATACATACACACATTACATTTTCATCATCTGTTCTTCTTCAGTTTGTTTTCATATCTTTGCTGGAATAATGTAGTCTTCTTTCCACTTTTTTGAGACAGGGTCTTGCTATATAATTCAGACTGGCTTTGAACTCACTTTGTAGCCGAGGCTGTCCTCAAACTCACAGCAATTCTCCTGCCTCAGTCTCCCATGGAGTAACATAGTCTTGAAATACATTAATTACTAAATGGGAAGAATAGGAATCATGGCATCACATTTTAGATCCTAAAAAGCCAGAAAAACATTTTTAAAAAGAGAAGATAAGGGCTGGGGATTTAGCTCAGCGGCAAAAGCGCCTGCCTGGCATGAGCAAGGTCGTGAGTTCGGCTCCCAGTACCAGAGAAAAACAAAAAAAAAAAAAAAAAAAAAAAAGAGAAGATAAATTGCAGTTAGAATATTTTCATGCCAGAGAGAAATGGGACAGTGCCTGCTATTGACCAAATAACAAACAGGGCAGGAAGGCTTAGTGGGCACAGACCGGGCCCGAGGAGCGTGTGGTGCACGTCAGCCCCAGTACGGAAAGTTAGATATGTGGGTTGTCAGCAGAGGCCATGGGTGGACACTCCTCCCATACAACTTACACACACACACACACACACATACACAAACTCACTATGAAAACCAAATTCTTCATTGTGATGGCCATAACTGGCAGATACTGGTGTGTTAGGTCAGATTTGCTCTGAGGAAGCCTCCATAACTGGCAGATACTGGTGTACTAGGTTAGATTTGCTCTGAGAAAACCTCTGTTGAGCATGGGACTAGAATGTAAACTCTGCACGAGAATAAAACACACCAGGTTCATCTTTAGAATTAAGGACCTAGTCCAGTGCCTGGGCCAGCACAGGCCTTCAAGGGGTGCTCGCTGTGTAAACCCACCAGTGGCACTGCCCTTCCCTGGCATAACTATTACAATGAAGTGAATGTTCATTTCTTAGAACTTCATATTTAGTTTAGTCTTAGGTTCCTAGATTTTTATAAACAGGGAATCCCAGCTCAGTTAAATTTTAGCTCAGTTAAATGACTTGATACAGGTCCCTCAACTAGTTGTTCCTGTTGTGGGAAATTGGACCTAGGTTTTTAAAAGCCACTTCCAGATTCTCAAAGATGTTCCTGTTTTACTGATATTTGTACTCCCTCCCTAAATTCCTAATTGAAATTCCATGTCCCCCTTTGCTTTTGTGCAACTATTGCTATCATGTAAATTATCTTTTTTCATTTCCCATGAAAATAGCAAGCACTTTTCCTCTGCTTATAAGTATGGTGCTGGTGCTCACTGATGGATTCCCTCCTCTCAAAGTGGTGCTAGATTCTACCTCAGCATAACAGGCCCAGGATGGTGTGATGCCAAGGAAGAGAAAGCAGCAAGTGATCCCTACCAAGGGCTAGGGAACTAAGCATTTAACCTCTACTGCAGAAAAGAGGACACAGCCAAACTTGCAAAGCAATGCATGAATAATGGAAGAGAGTCCTTGGGCCCACAGTGAGCTAGGCAGCTAAGTGGACACAGGAGGACACCAATCAGGGACAGCATCCTGGTTCAGGGATGGTGAGTTCTGAGTAGGCTTTCAGGAGGGGACAGACAGATCCCAACTGAGAAGTATATGATGATTCTTAGAACTCACTGTGCAGGGTCCTCAAGCTTCATACTGACACATGTTGGCATTATTCTATGGGTGGTTCATTAACAAGTTTTCAGTTTAATGTCTTCACACACAGAACAATCTGACATTTTAGCTGGTATCATCTTGTTTTTCTTCAGCATCAATTTGTGCAACATTTTGTTGTTTCAGTGGTTAATTACTAACTGCTGAGTTCAAGCTTCTTGCTTCTCCTGTTTCCTTTACCTTTTACATGAGTTTTAAATGGGCAGCCCTTGTGGGATGGAGAAGAAAGCTACAAGTGATGGTTTTTCATTCGTTCTAAAATTATTACCTCTTTATTTGTACAGACATTGGTCGGAACAAAGTTTTAAAGAGTTAGCCAAAATGAGATGTTGGAATTGATTTTGGATTTCTCAGCAGTGTTTCATTTTTCAGGATGAAGATGGCAGTTTGGCTGTTTATGGAATCATGGAGTCATTCTATTATCACCTTTATCTCTTGTTAAACAGATAGTAGCCCAGGGGCTGGGGATTTAGCTCAGCGGCCTGCCTGGCAAGCGCGAGGTCGTAAGTTCGGTTCCCGGTACCGGAGAAAAACCAAAAAAAAACCAAAAAACAGATAGTAGCCCATAACAGGCACTCAAGAACTGCTGGCAGAATAGCTGATGAGAACAGAAGCGAGCTTGCAGATATAGAGGTCAAGAACGAGGAAGCTCAAGAGTACCTCATTAGTGCACTGCACCACTGTGGTAGATCTCCTTACCTTCCAACCACTGCTCCACCCACCACATTCCCTGGAGACAATGGAATCATGTCAGTGACAATGGAATCATGTCAATGACAATGGAATCAATCATAGTTGAATCAGCCCAGGAGCCAAGCTGAAGACTGTGCTCAGGAACAGTAAATCAGAGGCAGCTCGGTGAAGGGGAATTCTTGCCAAATTTGTGGGTGCTAGCTGTCAGCAAATCAAAAATACAGAGCCATTTGAGAAAAATTTCCAGTTAAAGTGGAATTCTCAAAACCATGAACTGCCACCAGGTCAGTGAAGCTTATTTTATAAGCAGATAGGATTCTGCACAAGCTAGTACAGCAGGATGGTCATGGAGGACTTCCACCAGGCCAGAGTGTCTAAACTCACCTCTGGGACTGCACTTCCTGTCATTTCCTGGCACAAAAGCTCACTTCCCCCTAGGCTGTTTGACTCAGAGAATCTTCTAGAGAAACTTAACTCATCTCTATAGGCTCCAACTTTGAATTATGAAGTATGCTAGAGAGCTAGGAGCAATTGCTCCATGAAAAATACTGAGTCACATAGAGAAATGATGTTTTTATTACTTCAAAGGCAATGAGCATATCTAAAGCACTGTAAAGCTGTCCAGGTGAGCTTATTAAGTTTTGAAGTAAAAGAAATACATGAGGAACAGATGAGAATCTTGGATAAAAGCCTAGACCTTGATCACAGAGGATTTTACTTATTTATTGCTATTATAGTGGATAATAGCAAGACAAAAATTTATGAGGATCATTGTCCAGAAAAAAAGTAGCATTGATTTGTTATGTAATATTTGAGAAAATCTCTCTCAGGGAAGAGTCTGTACCTAATTCTAGTAAAGGGGACAAATGTAGTGAGTAAGCTTGAAGCTGTGTGAACTCTCAGATCTAATCAGAAAAGGGTATGATATTAGATCACATGGAGTTGTGTAGTCCCTAGCAGGTCTGGTGTTGGTTAACTGCCTGGAGATTCTTTACCCAAGAAGTGGGATGGATTGACAAGCAAAAGTTTATAGTAGAAGTCAATGGCATATTTAATTGTGTGAGCTGTGTGGACCAAATGGTCTCTTCTTACCTTGTGGTTCATGGGTTCTAACATATACTAGCATTAGTTGCATCAGCAAAGCACCCTTGCTTTTCTTGCATTGTGAACCTATAAACTTCCCTGTGAAATTCACTATATAATACACATTGTCAGTGCCAGTGACAGTAATTACATAACAAATTGCTTTTCTACTTCCTCAGACATGTAATTAAATGTTTCTTGCTGAAGTCTTCCTCATGATGACTTGGTTGGGTAATGACCTGTTTCCTAGTCCCACAGCATGTTGGATAGTACCTGCTTCACCCAGAGATGGCCTTGTAGACTCAGGACGGACCTGCTAAGCTGAAGCCCTGGGATGGATCCTTCTTTGGAAGATTTTGTCATTCATGAAATTGGAACTGTCCTTCAAATGTGTCTTGAAAGAGTGAGTCTTCCCCAACCATGTGTACAACAAAAATTTAATGGAGGCAAATCTCCAAATGCAGTGAACTTTTAGGAAGAATAGTCTGTTTTGAAAATCAAACATGTTGCCTGCAGACGAATATATTTCAGATAATTTCATTGAAATTGATTTGCTAAGCAAGCTGTATAATCCTCTGCACACAGCATTTACATAGTGGTTTTTCAAAGTGTAGCTTCTAAAATCTTTGTATGGTAAATTAGTTACCATAATATTTTCTTAGTCATGACTTTGACTCTAATTAGATTATCTATCCCTCCTCTGTTTTTCCACAATGCTGCCAATTTCTGTGCTATGATCCCTCCCCTTATAATTCTCTGTGCATGTTTATCATTTTCCTCACCAGACAGGAGCTCCTTAAAGGCAAGATCTCACGACCTAAGTGGTTTTGTCTCCAGAATCTAGCATAGTATCAGGTACCTGTAAAGATATACTGAGCTACAGTATATTCTATAGGAAAAGAACTTGTTTATGCTTGAAGGTTTTAAATGTTGATTTAGATGTGCTGTATCACAAAGTCAGCACGATTAAAATCTGAGACCTGGTCTCTTCTGTGGTTAATGAGTTCTTAGAGAAAATGATTCCAAGTGCAGCAAACTCCTGCCATGAGTTCCCTTTGGCAACTTTTGATTGTATTTCTGCAAATGTGGCCTGTTAGTTTAAATTACACTACTTAAAGTAGAAAAGGAAATAGTTGTTCTTACCTAGTGTTGTGGGAAAAATTTATTTAAAACCAGAGTTGTTTTATTTAGAGTTTGTAGAGATTACAGATTTAAACATACGTACACTCAAACATGGGCTTAAGGTAATTAGCAACACCTGTGATTATTAGAGTTTGGCATTTTTCTCCTGGTTGACTTTGTTGCCAGTCTTTTGGCCTCTTAATTTTATTTTTTTCTTATTTCTCAAGTAATACAACTTCAGTGGGAAAAAGTTAACATGTGGGTGTTGAGTTCTCTTCATATTTTAGTTTCCTTATCTTTGAAGAACTGTTGCAGCTCTCAGCTAGATTTCCTCCATGCTGCACCATGGCTTTTGTAGACAAAAGAGAATACATCCTTTTGTGTCTGTGCGCCTCAGGAACAAGGATGTTTCTGCCCAGGGTCCACCTTCATGTCCAGCGCATTCCTCTTCCATCCTTAAACTCCATTAGTCTTACATTTTCCTGGTGCTAAGCAATATCCCCAGCCCTAACTAGGATTAAAGGTCCCATTCATCCCAGCTATTTCCCTTTTGGGTATTTTTCCAGAAGAAATGAAAACATAATACCACAACGATATATGTGCACCATATTTATAGCAGCACAATTCGTAATAGCTAAATCATGGAAACAACCCAAATGCCCATCAACTGAGGGATGGATAAAAAAGATGTGGTAGTTTTATATAGTGGAATATTACCCAGCTATAAAGAAAGATAAACTTGAGGCTTTTATATGTAAATGGATGCAGCTAGAAACCATACTCATAAGTGAAATAAATAAGACCCACATGTGTAAACATCATATTGCCTCCCTAGTATAAGAACCTGAAGAAGTAAATAAAATCTAAAAGGTACAATACATATTGTGAAAGGGAAAGAAACTGCTCAAAAGGAAAGAATGAGTGGGATGAGAGAAAAGAGAAAAGAAAGAAGGAAAATATATATAAGATAGCTAGGATAATTTCACGCTAATTTCTATTGCTTTCTTGAATGGAACAGATGTTATTTAATTGTTTGATCATTCTTACATGCCTGTATTTGTTTATCTGGGTAACCAGTTGTTTTTTTTTTTTTTTCCGGTAGCAGGAATCAAACTCAGGACCTTGCACTTGCCAGGCAGGCAGTGATGCCACTGAGCTATATCCCCAGCCATGGGTAGCCAGTTTGAAGATAACAGTAAGTAATACAACAACCATTGTTCATTTCTTATCACCTTGTTTGAAATTCTACATTGTTTTTATGTTGTTTTGTTTAGGATTGCATGTTTGTTAATGTTTTGGTTCCTTTATCTTTAAAATGAAAAAAAGAACTGTAAGGCTAAGAATGCATTTCCACATGGAATGCAGATGCAAATATGTGCTGAAGGGAGAAGCCATTTGAGTGTATGCTTCTGGAAATGCAGTGTTTCTCCTTTCCTTCTAACTTGTTAACCATCATCAAAAGACAAAATCACAGCACTTTGCTTTGAAGATCTTATGTGGCTTTTATTTACATTCTGGAATCAGGCAGCACCTTGTTCTTTAAACAGACTGAGTGCTCTGCTGAACTGAGCAGAGGTGGATGACCAAACAGACATTAAAGGGCTGGGGACAAGGTGCACATTGGCTGTTCAGTTACAGGTCACAGCAGAGGGGCTTCATCGTCCTGCATAGCCCTGACCTGTTCTGGGACTTGGTGATTTTCTTTCTCTCCTGGTGATTTTCTTTGACTTTTCTGAAGGGATCTACACCACTTAGTTTCAGTGGAGTAGCAGGAGCTTTAGCCTGAGAGTCTCCATCTTGGTTTGGTTGTTGCATTGGCACAGGTGCTGAGTCCACACCTTGGCCTCTTGTGAGTCTTACTTAACACCATGCATCTGACTGTTTCAGGGCCAGCATAATTTAACATTCATGGCACACTATAAAATTTCAGAGGTTGTTTTTTAAAAGATTTTGTGAACATCAAGAATCTAACTTTAAGAAAATCATGAAAGAGCCTTTCAACTGCATAAATTTTACAGTCAAATGATAGGTGCTAGTTCTGTTTTCACATTGTGTCCTGAAGCAATGTTAATCAGCAAGTAATATATTGTAGCAGGGAGCTCACCATAGATGCCATTGACCTTGGGCATGAAAATCCTGGAGAGGGAATGGTGACAGTAACTAATTTATTAAAGTTTGTGTGGTGAACATAAGTTATTTGAGCACTGGCACTCTTAGATGGTTCATTTGTCAAAAGTAGGTATCATCTGAAACTTTATAGGTTTTTTTACATTGATTTTGTTTATTTGGTGTTTTGGATGAAGAAAGAAGTCTTCAGAGATAAATAAAAAAAAAACAAGCGAGTATCAATCATGAACTTTTAATTATGAAAATGGTTGTTAAAAACACAATGTCTTCTATTTAATATTTTGACTTTGCTGTGTTATCTATTCATTTGTTTGTCCTAAATCATTGTAGGTAATACAAATATGGAAAGATTTGGTATGAGATGTGGAATTTTTTGTTTTATTCATCGCTTATATTTGGCTGAGTTCCTAAAAATGATTTTAGTTGACTGTTAAATTTGTCAAGTAAATTGCCCCCAATTGAAGTTGAAATAGCAAAAAGAGAAAAACAACACTTGCTCTACTCATTTAGGATTGCATTTACTGTTTATTAATTTTACATTAATTACTGCTGTGTAAATTTAAAGAGACTGTTGTTGAGCTCAATCTTGTAGCCAAACTCATTCCATGAGACTCACATTTATGTTTTGATCTGTCTTAAAATGTTTTATGTTCTAGCTTCAGGTGTCTGTACTGTTATCATTATTTGCTTTATTTCAAGACTTGTCTTGAAAAGCCTTTTACCCTGATTACCTGGGGAATGTATGAAGAAAACCCATTGTGAGCACATTTGCCGTAGTAATTCAAGCGTCCTCATCCCATTAGTTAGCAGTGTTGTCTGTCGTCATCTGAAGACTGGTGATTCTGACACTCCAGGGTAAACAGAGCTGACAGCCTTGGTGTGATGGAGTCGTGGTATGGGGAGAGGATTTTAAAAAGAGCTTTGTGAAGATTGGGACACTAAGTAAAGGAAATCATGTCTTGCTTCAAGGCAGAGGCTAGGTTTTCTTGACCCTGCTAAAAATTCCAGATCTGTGAAATAATAATGGATGCAGTCCATCTGAGATGATGGAAGTAGTAAAAGGGGAAGATTAAAGTTATAGTTGTGAACCTTTTTGAAGTCAGAAACTCCAGTGGGACTCTCAGAACTTTGTGGTCTTTCCTCTAGAAAACATGCAAAATATTAGTTTCAATTTTGGAGAGCTCACCGATGCCCAAGGCTCATTCTTGGGCCCAGGTTATGGAGCTCTAAGTTAAAGTTAGGGTTTTTAGGAGAATATCAGCATTTGTAATTTTATTATTCATCTCGGAAGCAGTTGAGAGCCACTGTAGCTCTCTGATTATGAGTTGGCATGATCCACGTATTCTTGCATTTCTAATAGACTACCTCTGTTACTAGCTGAAGCAAGGTACAATAGAATTAAAACTAAATGGAAATCATACAGATTTCAAACGTTCACCAAGAAAAACACAAAAAAGCACATTATATGTAATTTTTACTCCAGAATAAAGAACAGAGCCCAGGTATGGTGGTGCAGACTTGTAATCCCAGCACTCAGGAGGCTGAGGTAGGAGGATTGCTGTGAGTTCGAGGCCAGGCTGGGTTATCTAGTGAGTTCAAGGCCAGCCTAAACTGTACAGTGAAACCCTGTTTCAAAAAGGGAAAAAACAGCAACAATAACAAAAGTAAAACAATCAAATATGTTCTTACTGGAAGTTTTGACCTACTCAAACAATGACTTATTTGTCATTTTTCTTTTATTTGAGCACTGGTTTCAGTTTTTTCTTTTCATGGCACAGAAGTCAGAACGTGATTCATCAGAGCCAGGTATTCTGCTCTGTGACTGCCTGCCAACCTCCACTTCTGTGTCTTCACACACCTGCAAAGCAGCCACTGTAAGTCCTTCTCCCAAGCGGGCAAGGAACGCTGTTTCCACTAGTATTTTTGGAGCTATTTAAATAAAGTCTTCTTGCTTTCCCAAAATATGTTATGTTTGAGTGATAAAGTGCTTTTTCATCCATTTACTAATAACTGACATTCCTTAAGTCAGTGTTGGCAGGAAGCCAGTCATCCTAGGCTCAGGCTCTGCCTGTAGACCATGGAACATTGGGCTGGTTGACGTTTAGCTTAGCACTGCTAAACTCAGCAGGAGAATCAACATTATTTTCTATAATGTTAATGCTCAGTAGAGACTTGAGCTAAGTGGAAACAACTGAGAGATGTGAAGAACAGCTGCAAATGGTTTGTGTTTATTTTTCCTTTAAAGTGTCTAAATTCTTTAGAAGCATGCAGTTACTGGTTATAGACAAATTCTTATTTGCCAGTATCAGTAATAGCAATGTCAGTGATAGTCTACTATGACTTGTTTTGTGTTTTGTGCTAAGTTCTAGGAATACAAAGAAAAGATAAAACAGGTTCTTTATTCTATTTAACTGCTTTAGCGGAGAGGAAGGACATGTGTTCCAAAGTAATTCCAGTGTGAGAGAGGTCTAGATCAGATTTTGGAAGGAATAGCACAAATAACAGATGACAGGGAGATGTTGTGATCTGGGAGTTGCCATTGGCCTGGGTCTTGCCAAAGCTCCACAGAGGAAGTTCCCTTGCCCCATGCCACACAAGTCTCTGTCATGCACCTTGACCTACTGTTCATCATAGTTTATGTTATTACATGTTCAGCTGCCGCTCTTGGCCATAGTTGATAAGTCATTTAGGCACAGGGCTAGTATACATATTGTTCAAATATGAATCTTTATTGTTGATGTATAGAAAATGTTTTTTGACTAAATAGTGCATACACAAATGAAGAGATAAGACATGTATTTAATTCAGAAGGAAGGGCACACAGCTGAGAGGAGATGGGCGAATATAAGCTATTGTATGGAGTGGGGATACTCACAGAGTCTGGGAAGACCCATCATAAGTGGACCAAACTAGTTTTTATGAAGAAGAAATAGGATAGTAAGTTAAGATTGGATAAGATAAACAGGGGCAAGATTGGGGCAACTTTGAATATTGTTAATAAATTAAACCATGGGTAAGATATAACTTCAACTCTAAACCATGAGTAGGAACAGACTACTTGGGAAATACATAGTTTGAAATGAAATGTTGTGATATGATGTTAAATGTATAATTGTGAATGAAGGAAGCAGTCTGCCAAGCATCTAGAATATGGTTACATTCATATAAACTCATGTGTGTTAATAGTGGCTCTCAGTGATATATAATGTGGGGGATTTTTTTTCTTCTTTTACCATTTGTTTAAGAACTATTTGAATGGAAATAGTATTTATTTCATTCCTTTGAATACAAAGATGTTAGTTATTCTTGTTTTAAGAATAGATTAATGAAACAAATCATGGATAGACATAAAAAGAGGACAATTTTACATTTTATTCTTGAATAAATCATGAATTCTAAATAAACAATAAACATACATTTTCATCTGAAAATAGCTTAAAACTAGACTGGAATGATTGATAATTGGTTACCTGTTACCTTTGAGTTTTCAAAGATGGGAATCTTTTAGAAACAGGGTCTGGAAGATAGTAAAGCATCAAGTGCAGTATCATTAAGTACTCAAGTACTTGATTCATTATACTCAAGTGACTTGGAGAGAATGTTCTGTAATGTGACTTACTGAGTTGAGACCTCAATGCTTGTTAGTTTATATTAGGCCAGCTAAATTGAGACCCTTTTTATTGCAATCAGTCTGGAATGAGCTACTTAAATGAAGCAGAAAGTTATACTTGTTATTCTGTAGAGCTGGCCAAGTGGTATCCAGGAAAATCTACCAAAAACAAGTTAAATTAGATTTTTTCAACAATCTTCACAGTCTAGGTAAATATATTGTATATAATATTTCTACATTGCTAGTGTGGACCATGCCTATGACTTCTTTCCCATCAGTATAAAGTTGGAATCACAACCATTTCAATGATTCCTGATGTTTCAAAGACACAGAACACACAATATTTTTCCTACTATCATCTGTTCATCATGGGTTCTTTTTTTGGTTTTATCCTTTTTG